TATTAAATTTGATTTTGATCTAGAAAATATCAAGGAAGGAGCAATGATATATCACTATTCTTTAAAAAATCAGTTAAAATTACTATATCTGTAACTGATATAACAATCCTAAGGAAAAAGTTCAACTTCAATATCAACAGTAACAGATTTGCTTTAAGTTGGGTCTTTCCCAAAACATTTTTGAGTTGAGTCAGACATTTATTGACTCTGCTATATATAATTCTATGCTATAAAATAATTAGTCCCTAATAGCTTTGCTTATCTTAATTTTTAATGTTCCAAGGTAGTTGGAAATTTTAATATTTATTCATTTGTTTATACCCAATAACTTTAAAGGGTCAGAATGGACAAAAGAAATACCAGATCAATCTAAAGAGTCATTCAGGACCTATCCACGTGCTGCTTATAAATAAAGAGTCCAATTCGTCTAAGCCTGTGGTTTTTCCTGTCCCCCCACCTGATGACCTCACACAACCCTCCTCTCAGCCCTCCACTCCAGTGACTCCACAGAAATCCAACACAGCAACTCAGAATCTGCCTGAGCAACATGCCTCTGAAAGAAGCCAAAATCTTCAACAAACACCAGCCACAGACTTATCATCAGGTGGGTCTAGAGCCTTTCTTCTAAAAAGTCAGAAGGGAGACTATGAATACTGTATTAAACAAGTTGGTGAGATTTTTTGAATTTGTCAGCTCTGGTTACTCACTCGATTACCAAACCCAGGAGGCAAAATGGTAAGCTTAATAAGTATTTTGTGTCTCCTGCATGCCCAGCACTGGGACAGGTATTATGAGGAAAATTTAAAAACGGATCCTGCCTTTAATTATACTACTATGGATTTGTTTCTTAGGTAACATAGACATACAATCTGATTGTGTATTCAGACACACACACTTGAATGCAGTATAATGTACCTATGACTGTGTATAATTATAAACAGTGACCAAGGAAAAGATAGTTAATGGGCCTAAGCATGCAGTTTTCCTTAGGATTCACATTTGGAATTAATTGAAATTTGTTCATTTTTCCCCATTTTCATAATTTACATATGTCAAGGTTTTTTGTTTTTTCTTATCAGAGGTTTACTTTGAAAGACTCTTTTCTCTCTTAGTCATTCTAGGATGAATGACTGAAATGTGTTCTAATTACCTTTAAGAAAAATCAGACGGGTGTACAGTATAGTGATGCTTGCCTCCTTTCTTCATATCCCTTATTATTACACTTTTTATTTGGAAAGCTTAGTTTTATAGAGTTGAAAAAAGGTCTCAACCTTAATTTTGGGAATCTTGCCTTCCCAGGTTGTTTAATCTGAAATGAAAATAACTAAAACTCTAAAAACTGGGCATCAGGAATAGGATAAACATCTAAACTACAAAAATTTCCTTGGGGACTCAATTTTTTCCATGGTTACATGTCTAGGTATTTAGCAACTCCTTACTGATTCCAAATAAAAGGCCCATGGCAGGTATTCTCTCAATGGTTGCCAAACGAATGACTTACTTAGTCATGCCAGTCTAGATGTAATAATGCAGATCATTAAGAACTATATTGTGTACACACCATGTTTATTTTTACCTTTGGCATTTGTCTCAGTGGAATGTGGTATGTCTTACTACTCTGGGAGTTCACAGTAGTTGAGAATGAGGCTATAAAGATCTAACTGGGCATAATATTTTTCAGTTTCTTGTCCTCCTTTCCTTCCTCTGTAACTATTTCTATACTTTCAGGTATCGAATGAGGGTGCACAGTAGAAATGTATTCCTTAAGAAGCTTATGATCTAATTATAATCTAATGGGGAATGTATAAAGACAGACAGGTTTTATGTGGTTTAACTTAGACAAAATTAGTACATTGGCTTCCACAAAGCATTAAAAAATTTCTGTATATAGCTTCGTATTTGGAAATAGTAGAGAGAATAATTTGGGGTCAGATTAGAGAGAACCTTAAATATCAGACTGAGTTGGGACTTTAGCCCATAAGCCAATGAGGATTTGTGAGCAGGGAAGTAGCATACTTAGAACTGTACACTGGTGAGCACAGGAAACACAGGGAAGATGCTTTTGGGAAGCAGAAGGATTAGAGGTAATGGAGACTGGAGATCTGGTGTCTGCAGTTATGCAACCAGGAGAGAACGTTAAAGCTGCAATGGGAGGTAACAAGATTGGAAAGAGATTTGAGAAATACTGTTTACACAAAGTATGAAATAACTTTGATATGTGAGATCTGGAGATAAATTTAACAGGAGGAATGGAAAGTTGAAGTTTTAAGGTTGGCTGGGAGAATTATACCACTGACTTTGTAAAACCGAGGAGTCGGTTTTGGGAGAATGATTGAGTCCTTCGATCTACATCTTGAGTTTGGACATTTAAAAGTAATGCCAAGCATGGGGTGCCTGGGTGGCTCAGTGGGTTAAAGCCTCTGCCTTCAGCTCAGGTCATGGTATCAGGATCCTGGGATCAAGCCCCACATTGGGCTCTGTTCAGCAGGGAGCCCGTTTCCCCCTCTCTCTGCCTGCCTCTCTGCCTACTTGTGGTCTCTGTCAAATAGATAAATAAAATCTTAAAAAAAAAAAAAAAAGTAATGCCAAGCAGAGTTGGTGCTCATGAAAAAGGCATCTTTCCATAAAGTTCTATTATTTTAACAATGTTTTGTTAATCAAGCTGCTGTTTAAATTGTTTAAATATATGCTGTTATATATATCCTGCATTTAAATATAACTGCCTTTTACTATTAAAATATATAAACAGAAATGTAACAAAACTTTATCACATTTCTGTTTCCAGCAGGAACTATTAGTGGAGATATCATTGATGAGTTAATGTCTTCTGATGGTAAGTAGTTTAAAATTTTACTAACTACTTTACATACCAATAATGCTTTTCTAGAACTTTTAAGTGGCCTAAGATTTAAAAGAAATGCAGAACCTGTATTTTTTAATTGCTTAACATACTATGATGATTTATAAAAAATCTCCCACTTAACAGTAAATTGTAGGCATCCTTCAGAATTTTAATTTTTCTGCATTTTGAGAAAAAAGGGCCCAAAAGGGAATACTTATTACCATCACGGACTAAATTTCTACAGTTAGCACACTAGCCCTTTACATATCTGAAGAATTTGGCCAAGAAGAGTAAAATAATATATCGGTAATCCCAAAACCCAGTTTTGTAAATACCCCACTAGGGCTAACTTCAAGCTACCAATGTGAAGTACCTGAACTATGATTAACATTAGCCAAATTGTCATCTAATCTGAGATAATTTTTTTTTTTTAAAGATTTTATTTATTTATTTGACAGGCAGAGATCACAAGTAGGCAGAGAGGCAGGCAGAGAGAGAGGGGGAAGCAGGCTCCCTGATGAGCAGAGAGCCCGATGCGGGGCTTGATCCCAGGACCCTGGGATCATGACCCGAGCCGAAGGCAGAGGCTTTAACCCACTGAGCCACCCAGGTGCCCCAAATCTGAAATTTTTTAAAAATCCTAAAAATACAAAAAATTTTTTTGTAATTACTTTAATAGCTCTTTTAGCTTCACCTTTCTGTAAGTTCTTGGATTCAGTCCTGGTTCCTAACAAACATAGCCAAACCTAGGAAGTTGCAACTGCTAAATAACAAATGGTACAGTAGCCATTTGAGATTAAACATTTCTGTAGGAACAGAACATCAGCAAATTTATTAAGTCCAGTTCCTACTTCTGTTTACAAAGTAGTAACTTATTTAGCAGATCAGAGGACAGTGTTTGACTAATTTTTTTTTTTAAAGATTTTAATTATTTGAGAGAGAGAATGAGCATGAATGGGGGGAGAGGCAAAGAGAGAGGGAGAAGCAGACTCCCCAGTGATGAACGGGGAGCCAGAGGCAGGGCTGGATTCCAGGACCCTAGGATCATGACCTGAGCTGAAGGCAGATGCTTAACCCACTAAGCCACCTAGACACCCTGACCAATGTTTTTAAAGCACGTATTTTAGTGTGACAAGTTCAACAAATACAAATTTTCTCATGCTATACTATGCATACCCATGCATAAATTATCTTTAAATGAGAATCTTTCAAAATACACACTAGATACAAGTCATTAATTTCATTATTACTTTTTCTATTATATACTGTAAAATATTCTTATATGTAATTTAATTTGGATAGATGTACTTGAGAGTATTTTGTTAGACATAATTAGCCGTATGTAAAAACCGTATTTAACACTGAATTTGTTTTGCTTGCAGTGTTTCCGCTCTTACGGCTTTCTCCTACCCCAGCAGATGACTACAACTTTAATTTAGATGATAATGAAGGAGTCTGTGATCTGTTTGATGTCCAGATACTAAATTATTAGATTCCATGGAAACCTGGGACTGTTATCTACCTCTAACTGTAACATTTTAGACTTCTTAATAACCTAAGTATTTAAAATAATGAATGTAACATCTTTTTAGTTCACTGATTCTGAAGTGTTCTCTAATACTTTCTTTTTTACTTCACAAAACTTCAACCATAAAAACAAAGGGCTCTTTCAACCACAAAAACAAAGGCTTTTTTCAGGGGAAAAGGTGATTTAATACCCACAAATCCCTTCCATCCTCACATAATTAGATTCTGGGATTTCAGCTTTTCTTCCAATTTTGAATCCTTCTCATTTTTCCTCTTATGAGAAGAAAGTTAAAATAGACTTAAGGCCATCGAAAACAAAAAAAGTTGGCCAAAGGCTCATCACTTGTTTGTCTTGTATTTTTTTACTGCCACGAAACTGTCCGTATTTTTGTGTGTCCTCCAATCCAAACACACATTCACTGCCACTTATAAAGTGAAGGATGTAAAGTAGGATTATATTAACTGTTTCAGTGAACAGATTTTGTGAAGTGCCTTCTGTTTTAGCACTTTAAGTTTATCACATTTTGTTGACTTCTGACATTCCACTTTCCTAGATTATAGGAAAGATCTCTTTTATGTAGTTTGTTTTAAAAATGTGCCAATGCCTGTACATTAACAAGATTTTTAAAAATAAAACTGTATAAAACATTTAATTTATTGGTCTTTTTGGGGTATTTGATGTATCTCCAGTGTATTACAACTGAGCCATTAATCTTGTCGCTTCATCAACATTAACTGGTTTGTTTTCATGACACTGCTGAGGAATCTGAAGGGAAAAAAAAATACTGTATTTTAAAATGTAGATAATAGTAGTGAACAAAAATGACTTGTATATAATTATTATCTGACTTAATTTCTTCTAGTCATAGGAAGTAAAACAATAAATTCTCATATTCAGACTCAATGTTTCAGTCTGAATATGACTCAATATGCTGTGTATACTACAAGGCCAAGAATAGCAGAGAGCCAAATACTAAAAACTGCATTCAACTTAGTGGCTTTAAAAAGTTGGGAGTTTAACTTATTAACAATAACAAAAGGAACTGATTTCTACTCACCAGCTGTTTCTGCAAAGGTTCAAGGGAAAGGCCTTTTGAGAAACGTGCAAGTTCCTTTTGTATATCTACAAAAGCTTTATTCACTCTGGTAACTTTTTCATTATTCACAATGTTTATCTTTTAAAAAAGAAAAAAGGCATTAATTTACAATCTTATAACCATTAATGATAAAATATATCCAACTTTAACCTTATTAAACCTAAAAATTCAACAATCCTACTCATTTGTGGGGAAAATTCACACAAAAATTCTCATGGTTTTATTGAGAAATTTTAGACAAAGGTTGTGTTTTTAAAAATAAGAATTATGTGGTCATACCTCATATGTAGAATTGGTACAGGCACACTAAAATACATGACCACAGTCCTTCTAGGCTATGGTACCATCATCTCTCATTGTAAAACGAGAAACCCAATCAGATCAAATGACTTACTCTCCTTGAACATTCCACCTCTGAATCCTTCCTTGACCTTCTTGCTTTATTGGAAGTCCCTTCCGGTCTCGTGAGGACATTTTCCTTTGCAGCACTCCTCCCTTAAATCTAAGAGGAGGAGTCATATTCTTGTTCTTCACTGCTGTTCCCAAACCATTTCTCCTTTAAAACTCAGCTCTTCAATTTCAGGGTTCTTTTTCACTACCTACCTCAGCCATCCACTCACATGGATTACTTCTGGCTGCATCATTACTTGTAACTGCACCATATCCTGTCTCTCTAGTTCACTTAGTTTGCTAACATTAACAATTCTTGAGTCTTACAGAAACTGTCTTCCACCAATGTCACTATTTTTCACATTTTCATATCCTTTTTCCTTTAGCCACCAGAGATTCCATGAGCACTATTTGATCAATCCCTTCTTTATACTCTTAACTTTCCTTCTCTTCTCTCCCTTAATTAAACCTGCTTGGCAACCTAGTTAAATTCAACTGACAGCTTTTTCTGAGCCTAAAACTGAGGAAATCGTGACTAACTGGCTGGCTTCACTTTAAGTTCATGACCACAAACTTTAATTTACAATTTATATAGTACCTGGCAATCTTACAACCTCCACTTAGGAAGTTAGGCCACTTTCTGTAAAAACTATTAGATTTTTTTCTCCAACCAGCCTGCCTATCCAGATTTCCTTCTCTTAGATTTCTCCATTAGCATACATAAAGCTTCTAGTACTTCTATTCACACAAAATGATCCCTGTCAAATACACCAAGTTTTCCCCTAGCTTGGGATCTTTGTATTTGCTTTTCTCTGCCTAGAATATGCTGCTCCCAACACTTAACAGAACTTTAGATTACTTGGTCCTTATCATCTGGATCTTGGCTTCAGTGTCAACCTGTATCATATCACCTAGCTTTATTTTCTTTATAGCATTTACTAAGTCATAAAAATGCTTGATCAAAAAGCGTAATTTAGATAGTTCATGAAAACTGGAAGATGAAATGTTACATTTCTATCACTATTATGACAACTACTAGGCCCTAGAGAGCTGATTCCACCTACTACTTAAACTTGAAAACATTTCTTTGAAGAATTTTCTTAAAGAATCTACTTAATCTCAATGAAATTTCCCATTTCCCAAATATTTAAAAAAAAAAAAACAAAATAAAACAAAACACAAAAAAGAAAACTTTCTTTTCAAATTTCGCATTTTAAGAAAGAAAATATCTATCTTATTTTATAGGTTTTTGTTTGAGTTGTAGATATCTTCAGGGAGAATCACTGAGGAGAAAAAGAATGAGTGCTGACCAGCATTTTCTGTCTTGCTTCTGTTAAGAGGTTCTTGAATATATTTGAGTTCAGAGATAAGAACTGTTTCCCATACCATGGTTTTTGATAATTTCTATACTCTGATAAAGCTTTTAAAACTCATTTTGATAATCTTTAAAAAAAACCCAGAAACTGTTCTTTGGAGCCTCATGCATTTGCAATTAAAGTGCCTTTTTTTTTTTCATACAACCACATCAAAAAAGGGAGGTAATTTTTTTTTCACTTTTTTAAAAATAAATGTTTAAAATCATCTTTCCTTTGTGAGAAAGGCTTAAGAACCTGTTTTAAATAATAGCATTCAGTTTTCCAGTGGCTTTACAACTATGTTTTGCTTGTAAACAATAAAGTCAGAGTGCTTAGCTAATACTTACCTTCTTAAGGTTAGTGGTAACTGGTTTTGCTTTGTTTTTAGACTTAAAGTTTTTTTGGCTGGCTATATGAAATACATTCCTGGACTTCTGCCCTCTTAGTTTGTTCTTAGCCATTGTCTAGGCAAAAAAAGAAAAGGAGCTCAATTAAGTTGCCCACATTTATGAACTATAAATCAACTTAAGTTTTTATAGTAAAGATTCCAATTTAGTCTAAGAAACTCCATTTTATTCCTGATTGTTTTTAAAGTTCCTGCATGTATTAAATTATTTCCATGTCTTTCGTCACTACTAGGTTTTCTGCTGTTTGAGTGCAGAGTATGTATCTAATTCTTTTATCTGTAATACCTGGCCCACAGGAAGTACCACATTAATTTCTGCTGGCTGAATTTGTTAATACTATCAACACAATCGCTTTCTCAGCTCTTTGTAGCATCTGACAATGTTAACTATCACCATCCATCCTGCTAGTTGAATACTACTTTACCATTCTGGTTCCTATCATCCTGCTTTAGGATGAACTCCTGTCTGCTTTCTCCTTTTTCACTCCTTTTCACTTGCCTCACTTTCTCTCCTATGTACACTTCTTCAAAATGAGTCCTTAATCCTAACTTCCTACCTTAAATTACCTTCACAACTTCCATATCACCTTTACGTGAATGGCTCTTGTCTTGAAACTTTACTTACTTTCTTTACTCTGTAGCTAAACACGCACTGAGTCTGTAAATCCTAACTTAAAAACATGTCTTAAATCTGCTTTAACAATGCATATGAGGAAAATTTTAAAAAATATTAAGATTTGTTGAGCTTTTAATATGTGTATAACCACTATGTGAACATTTTATATGCTTTAACTAATTTACTCTGCACATTTTTGGGGTGTACTATTATCCCCATTTTACAAATAAAACTGATGCAAAGAGGTTAATTTGCCCAATGTCACACTGTCATTAATCAAGAAGTGACAGGATTCAAAGCCGGGAAGACTAGATCCAGAGTTAAAATTATGTGATATGGCTTCTCATGTATAAATAAACATCATGCAGTACTGAATAGTTCAGGACTAGAGTACTGCTGTAGTCCCTAGGTCTATTTGGTTAGACCATAGACTGGCAAACTATACCAATGGACCAAATTAGTCAGGCACCTGTCTCTAAGTAAAGTTGTAGTAAAACACAGCTATGTCCATTTGATTATGTATTGTCTGTGGCTACCTCCCTGCTACAACTGTGGTCCACAAAGCCCAATATTTATTTATTTATTTAACAAACATCTGGTCCATTCAGAAAGACTGCCAACCCCTGGCGTAAGGCAAGTGCATTCAAGTCTATGCCTTGTGCTATGTGATGAACCTTCCCAATATTAAAAACTTTGACTCTAACAATGCATTAGGGGCAGGGTGGTTTGTCCTGGTATATTACTGCTGGAACCCCAAACCCAAGATAAATATGTCAAACATAACCTGCCGCCTCTCTGTACACACCCATCCCAGTCTACTAACTGCTCTCCAAAGATACTTTGCATATTCCTCCTTTCTTTCCTTTGCTCAACTTGTATCTCTCCACTGAAATGTATATCCTCCTTCAGTGTCTAGCTTCAGTAAACTACTCAGAGACAACAATGCTTACAAACACCAATGGTACTCCTACCCAAAACAAACAAACATGAGCACAGTAGGAAATTCACGATTACTACAGAGGAATTAGAAAATACACATCATATCCCTGCAATTAAATAATCTAAGATCCTTCCAACAGTAACAAAATCCCATCACTTATGTAGTATTAATTAATAACAATTTAGAATGTGCCAGGTGTGGTATAAAAGTGACAGATATACAAAAAGTGATATACATACATGTATGTGATACAAACACAGACACATGATACGTCTTGCCAGAGGAAGCATAAAATTGGGACACAAGAGGGAGAAGTCCACCAGAGTTGGGGACTTGAGAAAGGTTCGTGGAGAAGGGAATACCTTGGGGGCCTGCGGCAATATTGAAATTCTGAGAGCAACGTGAAAACTGGGATGACAAGAGACACAACGAAAAACTGGTACCCTGACAACGGCTTAAGGCTCAAAAGGCACCAGGGTTTCAGGCCTGGGTCAGCAGGCCCGCTGCCCACTAGGACTGCTTGAGGCCGACCGCGACCGAGCCCAGCCTTCGGGCCTCACTGACACGAGACCCACCAGTCCTGTCCTGAGCCCCGAAAACTACCCGCCAGTCTGCCAAATAGTTTATTAACCTCTCACCGTACCTTCAATATCCTCGTGCAACAACTCACGCTCCGAGCGACACCATCTACAACCACAGGATCTTCCGGAAGTTCCGGGGAGGAAAGGAGCCAGTCAAAATTCTTCCCACAGGCCGTAATTCCGCCCACCGGGTGAAGCCCCACCCACCGAGCGGAGTCCCACCCACAGAGCTCGGACCTGACTACACGAAGCCCCGCCCGCCAAACGTATTTCCGCTCACAAGCGGGTTCCCACCCTCGTAACGTAGCCCCGCCCACAGGGCTAACTCTCTAAAGTATCTTTTAAACGTAGGGAAGCCCTCTCCCCACTCCCCCCCCGCCTAGAGCGAAGTTCCACCCACCTTGGGAAAACCCGCCCCAAGAGCATCCCTTACTTTAGGCAGGATTGAGGACCAAAACTGGGCTCCGGCGAGCTAAGGGCGTTGGAGATGCGGCCAAGTCTGGATTTCCCGGGTGGGTAGGTCTGTGTACAGAAAGCACTGAGGCGTTTCTGAGGTTCTGAGCCGAGAAGTCCGTCACCCCGTGGGCTCTCAGTCGCAGATTCCCGGCTGCATCTGCCCACGCTCCCAGGAGGTGGCGCTAGACGCCTCTGGATGGCGTCGAGGCAGTCCAGGGCGTGCAGAGAACCTTGTGTGTGGCGGGGAGGGATGGGGAGCTATAAGGTCCGAAGAGAACGTTTGTAATGAACGAGAAGATGGCATGGTTTCCCCCTTTCCTTCAAAAAGAACATTGCTAACAATACAGAACAGGTACAAGAAAATATGAAAAGAAAAGTGTCAGGGAACGTAGAGAAACTGAGAAACTTTTTTTTTTTTTTTTTTTTTGCCTTCTGGTTGTGAATTTGTATTTCTCAATTAAGACATTTTGAATTTTTCTAGAAAATTGACTCAATTCTACCAAGAGGAGTTCTACATTAAAGTAACAGTTTTCATGCATTTCTGAACTTATTTTGATGAGTTCATAGGAAAGCCAGATTTTAAACAAATGTAGAAGTATTTACATATATCCGTTTATTATAAGAATTTAGTCTACATTCTAAGTATCAAAATAAGGCCGTAATACCACTCCCTTTTTCAAGGAAGATACTACTAAAGGCTCATATTTGAAGCTGCTGGCTGGCGTCTACAAAACTAGTAGTGGACAAAACCAAACTAGGATCTGTGTGCGTTGGCCCTGGCTCAAATTTTCTTTCCTCCAAGTCAGCCACTGGCCTCCTTATAGGAAGATGAGGCACTTTGACAGTAAATCGTGTAATTGTGTTTATGTCTATCACAAAAAAGTAGGGCATATATGGAGGAAAGAGGAATAATTACCTTGCAATGTATGTTTATTCAAATTTTGTATTCTAAGAGTGACTTTTTAAAAACACCTTAAAATGCTAATATAAAATGCCCATAATGTTTGGGGGCAAAACCAAAATAAAGCTGAAGCTACAGAAAATCATCATCAAATTCTTTTACTAGGCCTGAGTCATCCACAAATATTGAAACAAATAAGGCAGGTAGAAGTATGGTTCCTTGAATGTGAAGTTATTGATGTATATATGGAAGACAAAGAAATAGATGGAATGACATTATAGTATTCGCAAAAATGTATGGGCCTTTTTAAAAAATTTGAAATGGTTAAATAAAGACACATACACCAAAGAAATAGCATGGTTATATAGGCAAATGCAGAGGTATTATCTGAAGTGTGAGTGAGGCGTCATAGATTTCTGGTTTACCTTTCTCACCAACCAGTAGTGTGATTATGAAAAAGTTACTTTATTTCTCTGTGCTTCCCTTTCCCATATGTACATGACCATTCAGAGGATATGTCCACTCCAGAGAACATCCATTTTCTGCTCAGAATCCTTTCCGGAGAACAATTCTTCTCCCATTAAGTTGTCCTGGTTGAGCTGATAATTACAGTCCTCCTCTAAAGATTTTTCAGCTAGAGCCGGTAAAGAATGCTATCTCCTGCATTTAGTGTCTTTATATTGGGATGATGTGAAATTAAAGCTGCTATTAGCCATCTTCTCCAGCAACTTGCAGAAGACCTGTGTGCAGTGGGAGAGAATGAGGGCAACATATAAAAGAAAACAGATCTGAACAATAGAATGCTGGACCCTGATGATGTCATTTGAGTCTTTAGACTCAGCCATAGACGGGAGAAAGATCTATCCTTAGACTTCTCACTTACCTAAGCAAAAACGTTGTTTTATTTGCTTAAATTGTCTTGAGTTAATTTTTTAAAAATCATTTGTACGTGAAAGAGTCTTTACTCCTGTCCAACCTACTTCACAGGAGTGTTGTGCAGAGTTCATAAAATACAAAGCATGAGAGCATAAGATATTACTAGGACAAAAGAAAGGATTGCATTAATTTTCTAAAAGTCATTTACTTATGAACCAAATAAATCATATATAAAGAAAAAATAACTTCAAGTTTTCTAATCTTTAAAAATACATGCAAATACATTTCCAGCTTTTCTAACAACCTTAAAGATCAATTAAATCCTAAGTAGAGAAAACATTTTTGAGAAACCGTAGTTTTCCTGTTGACATTCAGCAATGCAGAGTTCTGTATACAGATCTGGTCCTCAAAAACTGTCTTGAAAGCAGTTCAACAAGTAAACAGGGATAGTTAGGGAGAAGAGAAAAATGAGAGTACCCATAAATAATTGCAAACCATTCATCACAAATCTCATAGCCCTTTATTGGAATAAAACCAGGCTTGTATAGATGATACTTTATGATAAACTTATTTCACTGATTCAACTTTATTCTCCCCACTGCTCAGTTTCATTCAGTCACAATAGTTTGACACTTTAAAAAATAAGTCTATTTTGTAGAATGTTTCATAACTGGGAGTTTTTCTGTTTCCTCATGATTTGATTCGGGATATACTTTTGGGAAAGGAGGTAGACAGAAGTACCACAAAAATGATGCTGTGGTCTCATTGCATTCTGTCAGGTGGTTTGTAATTTAGATTTGTCTCATTATGATAACATTGTGATGTTAACTTTGGTTGCTTAAGATTTTTTTGCCAAGTTTCTCCACTGTAGACTTACTTCTTTCCCCCTTTAAATCAACGAGTATTTTATGAGGAGCAACTTGAAGCTATTGCCAATATCCCATTCCTCATCAAACTTTCATGCTAATTTTGGTACTTGATGTATCTTGGGTAAATTAATTATTACTGTGTGGATACCCAAATTGTAATTTTAATATCTCTGTCTTCCTTGTATAGTCATCAGCTGACATTCCATTGTAAGTAAAAACTTTGTTCTCCATCTATTTATTTATTTATTTATTTATTTATATTAGTACAGGTTCATGGGTTGTTATTTTATTCAATGGATTACAGCCTTTTCTTATCATAATTTACTTGATGTTCACATTGCCCAAGATTTGGCCCATGAGTGCTCCTTCACATATATCCCTTTGACTCGTCCCCATCCTTCTTTGACCACCTTCTTACTTTTTGGCACAGCAAAGCACTCCAGGTTCATTTGGACCTATACATCCCACATCCCAGAATGAGTCATTTCTCCACGGAGCCCTGGTTCCTTTTAGTGCATAATAATATTTAGAAGCTAAGCTCTGAAATGTTGCTGCTTCTAGGCCTCAGCGGATAGATCTACACAATATATGCATGTATATATACTATTTGCCTGTCTAACTCTCTGTACACGCTCACACGCCTCACCAACTGTATTTATTTCTACATGTAAAACCATGAGTTTATGTTAGTATCTCCAGTTTGAACTGAATACTATAGATTTAGTTTTGTTTCCTACCTTTTCATATTTGTAATTTATTTCTCCATCAGTGAGAAACCTGGCTCCCTACATATAGTATTCTATGTATATTATTCTAAATATAGGTGCTAATCCCTCATTTGATTTATCCTCCTGTTAGTAACCAATCCTCTTTCGCTGTTGCCTCCTCTCCCACCCCAGCTTCACGCAGGTGCCCCCCTCAGCCCCACTGGGGTCACACCATCCATTGTGTCATCCACTCTGGCTGCTGCTACCTGCAGAGATAGTATTCTTACCCTGCTTGGGCTCTGACTTTCCCTAAGATGCTGCCATCTCCCCTCCCTTATTAAGACCTAATGTCTTTTAGACTTAATTTTGAGGGAAGGAGGGACGGCTGTGATGAAGGAAGGAAAGAAAGGAGGAGGGAAGAAGGAAAGATGGAAGAAGGGAGGGAGGGAAGAAAGGGAGGAAGGGAGGAAGGAAGGAAGGAAGGAAAGGTGAAAGAGGGAAAGAAGAAGGGGGAAAAAGCAGATAGCAAAGTTTGGGTTTTTATTCTATAGAAAATAAAGGACTCCCCTTCCTACACACACACACACACACACACACACACACACACCCCGTATGGCTTTTTATACGGAGCTAGTTTAATTGGCAGTATGAAAGTAGATTGGAAGAAGGAATGGTGGCAGTAAGGGGGCAGGGGTTCAGGAAATAAATAACAGAGAGCCTGGGACGCCAGTGCACCTGATATGACTTCCCTTGAGTATCAGTGCATGAAGAACAGTCCATAAAAATGATACGCATTTTGCCTTGCTGCATAGATTCTTTGTGGGCCAAGTAAACAGTAAAGCTACCTTCCAATGAATCCGCATTTCTTGTGAGGGGCCAATTAGATCATGAAAATTTTCATGGTTGATTATGGAAATAGGGATTCTTTTTCCCTCTAACCCCTAAGTGACAGAAGCATTTAATTTTAGACTAAGAATAAACATATCTGTAACACAGTCTATATAAGAAAGTGGAACAAAACAGGCAGGACCCTCCACCTTTCTAACTAGGTCAAATTCCTGAAAATATCTGGACTGTTAGAATCAAGAAATGAAAGGAGATCATTAACCCTTTTGGGGGAAGAAAAAATGACTCACTTCTGCAGGTGATTATAAAGCTGCAGGAGGAAACTCACAGGCTTTCGTGTTTTACTATGTATTTTCTATAATTCAAACAGCATATTACTTGTATGCATGTTTGTCTCTTGATTTTCCATGTACTCTTCAAGGGCCAGTTTTTATTTATTTATTTTTTTAAGATTTTATTTATTTATT